TCGTAGTTTCTTTTGCGCTTTAATATGAAATTATATACAGTGTGTACCACTGCATTTGTGCATGCAATTGAAGAGCATGCTCTACGAGCACAGTATACCGCCTGACAGGACAGGAAAAATCGTTTTTACTGACATATGGCCTGACAACATCTCATCTGACCGCAGTTCACTGTTGATCTGCTGAAGCCCCTCGTCACCTGGATCTTTTCCGCGCTCGTTTGACTAACACCTGGCACTGAGGTGAAGGAGTGCACGTCTGAAAAGTCTCACGTTTGATGTGGTCGCAAAGATGTTCTGTGTCTAAATAAACGCAATTCTTGTCAAGAAAACAGAAGCAGCAGTTGTGGGTGGGGTGGCCAAACGTAGCTCCGCCTACCTTAACTGATCTTTCCAATCTTTTCAACGAGTCTTTGCAACAGATACACAAATCAGTCTCAGTGACTCATTAGTCACAAGCTGTGTTTGTGAGTGGAAACTGGTTGAAGTGGTTGAAATGTCTGAGTCAGACTCGATGAGATCGACTGAAACCTTTATTAAGCAAAATAGACTTTTGGGAACAGACAGGAGAGCGATGGCTCCCGAACAGACCACATAATGAACACAATGTTCCTCTAGACTTGATTACACTCACTGTTTTTGACTGACTTTGACTCCAATTCCCAGCCATGTGCATCTGGCCAAATTGGACTAATTTTAGAATGACTTAGGATGCACTTTATTGAGCCATTTTACACTGTGTATTTGCGTGCATTTGTCAGGGTTATGCCACAGAAACAGACAACAAGGACAGAACTAACACTGAATCCTCACCATCATATGCCGTCTTTTCCGTGTCTTCAGCAGGTGGACTGCAGCCCGGTGTGGAGGTGTAGCTCTGTACTGATGGATACTCTATCATTCCTGCTCCCAGAAGCCTTTGCTGTTCCTCTCTGGAGGTGTGACGGTCCTCTGAGCTTCCCTTAGAGCTGAGACGAGACTCTCGCCGCTCCTTCCTGCACTCGCTGTCTGTTTCCTTCAGGCTTCCTCCTACGGGACGATCAGAGGTACAGAACATGCTTGAGATCAGTTCTGGGACAGACTCCATGGATAACAACAACAGTGTCCAAACATGTTTTTAATCAGAAAGAGCTCCAGAGGACACTGAAGAAAAATTATACTTAATTTATAAAGTCCTTTATAAAGGACCTACTTAAAAAAAAAAGATATCTAATTTGTTACAGCCAAATTTATTCATTTTTCTCAAATTATATTCACAGTTTGATTCAAACCTTTAATTTTGATTTAATATTAACCATAAATATTTATTTCCCCAAAGACATGGAAAAACATTCATACAAAGTAAAATGATTTTTTACTTAGTCAATTTGTTTGCTTTGGACATGAGCTAAAATTTTTCTTAATGTAGGTCAATTTTATTTTATTTTTGCATTTTAAATCTTAATTTCACAATAAACAAATGCTAAACTAGCTATAATATTTAAGTAGAATTTTCACTTAAGATACAACTAAAAACAACCTGTTTAAACCTTACATTTTGATTTAATATTAATCCAAATATTTATTTTCCAAAAAAGACAAAATCATTCATACTAAGTAATTTATTGTAAAGGCCACGATGTACTTAATCAATATATTTTATATTTTATTGTTTTATATTAGTTTATATGAAAGTAGAATTTGTAACTAAAAACATTTTGCTTAGTCAATATTTAATTTAGTTGACCTACTATAAAAAAAGACAACTTTGAAAGACCTTAATGATTATTGTGATGTCTTATTAAAATATGCATCATATTTTCTGTTATGTACAAAAATATATATATAAATACATATATACATAAATAAAAAATAATAATAAAAACCCACAATAATTTCTAGCCAAAATTGTCAAGCAAAAATAAACAAAAATTTCTAGAGGGAGTGTTATTTGCTTTAAAAAAAAACTGAACAAAATATTTAAACTGGAAACTATGATTATTGATTAGATTGATATAGATGGAACATTATTGGCATCAAAAGAAACATTTTATTACAAAGTTATATAAATTTGCAACGTTATCTACGGCCAAAAAACAAACAAAGCTGAAACAATATTTTTACATTAAGCATGTATTCAGTATATATCCTGTTATAAATATGTAGTTTATGAAAGCAATGTTGTATTAGCACGGAATTTCTTTTAAACCTTTATTATTAATCATAAACAATGTCTACGAGCGGATATGGCATAATCATTAAGCATTAAAGAAATGCTGTTTTTACTGATTGTTTTAGTGTAGTATACAAGACTAAGACACTTAGGGCTCAGAGAAAGTATTTATGATCAGTGAGGTACAAAAACTTCCAGTCACTGTCTCAGTACATCAAGCAGCGTTAAGCCGTTTCCTTATAATCAGCGTCTGTGAGGTCAAAAATGCTTCACATCAAATATATTGTCTTTCTCCTTGGACTACAGAGTAGAGTGTTTTTATGACCATACATTTGGTTCTCCCTGGTCGGTGTAGTAGTGCATTTAAACCATGCTTAGTGTTTTTCCACGTGTAAAGCATTTTAAAACGTCCCCACAGTGTTTTAAGAGCTCACTAGAGATATAGATGTTCATTACAATTACAGTTGTAAAAAAATAACAGTTTATACTGCAAGAATGCTTCTTCAAACAAATCATACAACTATATACAGTATATATATATTCTGATGTAATTAAGGCTTTAATTCATCAAGGATACATTAAATTGATCAAAAGTGACAGTAAAGACAATTATAATGTTACAATGTTTTTGATCAAATAAGTGCAGCCTTGGTGAGCAGAAGAATTTTTTTTTGAAAAGAACATTAAAAACTGAACTCAAAATGTTGT